TGCCTGAACCCAGGAGGCGGAGGTTGCGGTGAGCCGAGATCGCGCCATTGCACTCCAGCCTGGGTTCAGGCAATTCTCCTGCCTCAGCCTCCTGAGTAGCTGGGATTACAGGCATGCGCCACCATGCCCAGCTGATTTTTTGTAGTTTAGTAGAGACGGGGTTTCACTATGTTGACCAGGATGGTCTCGATCTCTTGACCTCGTGATCCACCCGCCTGGGCCTCCCAAAGTGCTGGGATTACAGGCGTGAGCCACCGCGCCCGGCCTTTTTTTTTTTTTTTTAATCATTCTGGTTGATCCAGGTAGCCGGTATCTTTTGCCTTAACACGGAAAAGACAACATACTGTACCTGGACAGTAATGCCTCTGGGGTATGCTGATAGTCCCAAATACTTCTCCCAAGTCTTAAAAACAGACATAGCATATTTGGCATTTCCTTCACATTCTGTTCTCATGCCATATGTGGATGACTTACTACCTTGTTCTTTTACATTAAAGGCCTCCATAGAGGACAGCCACTGTCTATTAAGGAAATTAGCCACTAAAAGCCATAAAGCTTCAAAAGAGAAGCTACAAATTTCTCTCTCACAGGTGAAATATTTAGGACCTCTAATTTCAGGACAGGGTCTTTCACTTGATCCCCAAAGAATAAAATCAGTCTCGGCTTTTCCTGTTCCCATGACCAAAAGGCAAGTCTCTGAGTTCTTGAGATTAACAGGACACTAGATAATGGATCCCAAATTTCTCTGCCATGGCTCAGCCTCTGTATTGCCTCCTAAAAGCTGACCGCTTTGAACTCCTGCAGTGGCCTGAGAAGCCTCCTCCTCTTTTGAAATATTGAGGAGAGTCTAGGGAGCTCTAACTAGAGCCTCCCCCTTTCTGTTTTTGTTCATGAACAAAATGAAAATGCCTTAGGGGTTTTTACCTGAAGGCATCGAGACCATCAGTCCCCTCAGATATTACAGCCAACAGTTAGGCCCGGTGGCAACACGACTCCTATGCTGTTTGTGAGCTGTCATAGCCACTGCAAATTCATTTAGTACAATCAAATAATTAACATAGGTTCTCCATTAATTATGTTTTTCAATCCATACCCAACAACTGTCTGCTCATAGACTCACTTCTTACAGGTCCTACTATCAGCACCCCTCTAATGTAACTATTGATTGCTGTGACTCTTTGAGTTCTGCCACCTTATTTCCTCTTCCTTCTGGTGAGACACCACATGACTCTATAACACTAACTGCTACCTCACTAACCTTCAGAAAAAACCCATCGGAAATCCCCATTCCAAATGCTGAATTTGTCTGGTTTACTGATGGATTCTACCTTGAAATACCGCAGAGAAATGTCAAGCTGGCTGTGCTGTTGTTTCACTGTCTGAAACCACTGAAAGTGGTTTCCTACCAAAAACTACTTCTGCACAGAAGGCAGAACTCTTTGCAATCTCCCAAGCATGCTGGCAATTAATAAGACTGCAAATACCTATACTGATAGACACTGTGCTTCTGGGGTCACATGTGATTTTGTTATGCTCTGGAAACAAAAAGATTTTCTGAACTCTACTGGCCAAAAGATAAGAAAACAGTGACTGTCCTGAAATTACTTGATGCTATCTAAAAACCTAAATCTTTAGCAATAATTAAAATTCCAGACACAAAAAACTGATACCAAAGAAGGTAAAGGAAATGACTTGACGGACACAGCTGTGAAAGCTGCAGCTTCTATGAACCAACCACCCAAAACTTAATACCCCCTTAGATCTTCTAATGACCAATGTAATACAATCAAGACTTGTATCCACAATGCATGACAGCCCCCAAATTGAAAAAAAATAGGCAAACTCAAGAATGTTTTCATGACTCTAAAACCAGCTGTGATGGTTAATATTAATATTAGGTGTCAACTTGATTGGATCGAAAGATGCTTACATAACTGGTAAAGTATTGTTTCTGAGTGTGTCTAGGAGGGTGTTGCCAGAGGAGTCTGGCATTTGAGTAGGTGGACTGGGAGAGGAAGACCCGCCCTCAATGTGGATGGGCATCATCCAGGCAGCTGCCAGCATGGCTAGAACAAAGCAGGTGGAAGAAGGTGGGATAAGCTGGCTTGCTGAGTCTTCAGCCTTTCATCTTTCTTCCATGCTGGCTGCTTCCTTCTGTTCCCCCGCCCTCAGACATCAGACTCCAGGTTCTTTGGCCTTTGGATTTCTGGACTTATACCAGTGGTTTGCTGGCGGCTCTTGGACCTTCAGCCACAGACTGAAGGATGCACTGTCAGCTTCTTTGCTTTTGAGGCTTTTGGACTCTGACTGAGCCACTACTGACTTCTTTTTTCCCAGCTTGCAGATGGCCTATAATTGGACTTTACCTTGTGATCATGTGAGCCAATGCTCCCTAATAAACTCCATTTCATACATCCTCTGGAGAACCCTAATACACTAACCTATGCTCTGGGTTCCATAAGAGACCAGTCTTGTGAGATGGCCTCCACGATCAAATTTTAGATTATACTAATCACTTAAACCATTGGGGATAAAATGATTCTTTGGGGAAAAACAGTATTATTGGAAATTCTCCCCAAAGGTTGCTTCTCAAGTTTAGCAAAGATCCCAAGTCTGTCCCAAACACAACCCTAGAAAACATATTCATAGTTCCATAGGACATTTTCCTTTAGCTTCAGGATCTTTTGAGATATGACAGATGGATTTTATCTAGCTACCACCATCTCAATGATATAAATCTGTTTTGGTTATGATTTGTATGCTTTCTCACTGGGTGAAAACCATTCCCTAGTGCAGATTAACAGCCTAAGCAGTAAGTTACATCTTATTAGAAAAAATAATTCCCACATGGGACATACCCTCAGAACTATGTAGTGACAAAGGCAGTCATTTTACTGGGCAGAATATAAAATCAATATGTAAAATTTGGCCTTATTCTTCATTTCCGCTATTCCCACCACTGACAGTCCTCTTGATTAGTGGAACAAACTAATGGAACAATGAAGACTCGACTGGCAAAATTAGTTAAATCTTTCTGTCTGTACTGGTCAAAAGTTTTGCCCTTAGTGCTGTTTAATCTTACACCTACCCCTTTTGGGAAACATAGGTTATCTCCATTTGAAATAATTACTGGAAGACTCATGCACTTTATGAATCAATCCTAATCAAAGGTCACGTGCTCATCTACTATAAGGAACTGGTCCAGGTGTTATAAAAAATTTTTTTTAAAGGCTAAGTATCCTGAAGGGACATCTCAATCTGATGGTGATCTGAAACAAAAAATTACCAGGAACCACACTGCTGCTCAGTCTTGGAATAAGAAGCAGGCAACATGAGAAGCTGACAGCTGGCCCACGCCTCTGGCCCCTGCCTGTATATGACTCCCAAAATATTACTATTACCCTTGTACTAATTTTTATCCTATTTATAGAACTACTTTATCTGTCATTCAAAGTCTACAAGGACCACAAAACCATGTACCAATTCTTGTACTTCTGCCAAAGTAATTTTCTTTTCTTTTCTTTTTTAGGCAGAGTCTCACTCTGTCACCTAGGCTGGAGTGCAGTGGCATAATCATAGCTTACTGTAGCCTTGAACTGGCTCGAGCAATCCCCCTGCCTCAGCTTCTTGAGGAGCTGAGACTACAGGTGCACACCACCACACCAGGCTAACTTTTCTTTTTTGTGCTTTTTTTTTTTTCTCTGTTTTTCTTTTCTTTTTTTTTTTTTTTAATTTTATTTTCACACCCGACTAACTTTTAAACCTTTTGTAGAAACAGAGTCTCACTATGTTGCCCAAGCCGGTCTCAAATTCCTGAGATCAAACTGCCTGCCTCAGCCTCCTAAAGTGCTGGGATTACAGGTGTGCACCATCATGCTCGGCCTTTAAAATGGGTTTTCCTAAATAATTTACACCTCACGTGAATATCTCTTTGAATCTGGGAGAATTTATTTTTAAATCACCTCTTAAATTTCGCCCCCCAAAAGCAATGATGACTTACAATAAAAATATTTCACTGAATTGTTTACAGAAGATAATCAATTTTCTAAGTATATTAATAAAACTTATAACTTATTAATTTTAATAAAAATTCACACATATCTTTGGCATCTAGAAAGCCGACCTAGTTATTCAAACAGAAAAGATTAGATCCTGAAATACATTTCTGATTCTATCACTGAGTCACTGTGCATGCTTAAGCAAGTTATCTAATCTCCTGGTATCTTAGTTTCTGCACCTATGAAATGGAGGTAATAATATTTGCTATAAGATAATGTCAGCCAAGCACTTGGGAACCTCAGATGAAAGGCGCCAGAAGTATTTTGCTATCTGCAGCATGACCTCATACTGTCTGAGAAATGGACCTTACCAGGCTTGTTGATTATCCCAGCACCTTACTTGCAAACTTTTCCTGTTCAACTTACTTTTTTACTTTATTCATTTCTATTTACCGGCTACTCTTTATGTATTTTAACTTCATTGGCTGTTGATATAGTTTTGAGGAGAGTTGATGCTTTGAAGAAACCATGAAATTAAAACTTTTACTTTTTGGTTTAAATTCTTACATTTAAAATCTAAAACAAATTTTTTAAAGCACTCAACTTTCTAATTATGGGAGATGGCTATAGCTATGAGAGTTATATTAACCTTATCCGTTCATTCCTCTTGTTTATTTCGAGTTTATTTCACATTAATTTTAGCATGCACATATTTACATTACTACCTGTAAACTTTGCAAAAGATTTAAGGCAGATGTTGAGACTGCTGGAAATTTGGATGTTTGTGTCCGTTTTCTGCAGGAATGAGATAACAGATGATATAAGGGCAAAGGATTAGTTGCTTAGAGCTAAATCTGAGCTTAACCTATAGTCCAACTAGCGTAATACATGTCTATTTCCTTTGGGCAAATTGCAAAGGTCAAAGGGCCACCTTGGGAATAACCAGATGACTTTAAAAAAACAGAACTGCTGATTCAATAACAAAACTTAGAGGAAAAGTCAGAGATAGGAAGTTGGCTGCATCTTCTGAACATAAAAGCACTTTGTTCCCTCTGTCTGCTAACCTTCTTTTTCAAGGCTAATGAAAATATTTCAGAGGAGCAAAATTTTGGTCTTTTGAACCTTCCAGTTAACAACAGAAAACTTAAATCTTTGGAACTATTTCCAAAGGAAACGCTTTCATCGGAATTTGCCCACTCAGATCTTATATTTCAAACAGCAAGTATGACACTACTCCAACAGAGTGTGAGATGTCTGTTGAACATTG